ACACACACACACACACACACACACACACACACACACACACACAGCGCTCTGTCCTCTTACTGCTGGCATATTCGAAAGCTAAAGCTATTTCTGATGTCATCTGTCATCATATATAACAACTGCTCGATGTTCCAGTGCTGAAATATAATTGCTCACAGAATATATTTGGGTTTTGCAATATTAGTTGTCTGACATTTTATGGACTATTGATTAATTAGAAAAAAGATAATAGGACTGAACAGCTAAGTTGTTGGAATTTATCCTGCAGATATACAATTATCTGTAGCAAGGTTCATGATGATCCATCCGATAGCTGTGGGGGCAATTCACTCAAGGCTGCTAATCGTGGTCCTAGCTGAAAAGCGGCTTCATCCTCTCAGAAATATCAATATTGTCCGTCCATTAGATGTTAATGTATTTTAGTCTGGACCAACATGATTGAGACACAAGTGTCTTCGCTACAGCCACAAAGCTAACATGGTGAGAAACTAGATATTCAGTGATCTTTTTCAGAATACTGATACCAGGGCACAATTTTTTTCCCACAAATGAGCTGCTTAGACGTCTAAAGCTGTGTCTTTATCAAGCACCACATCCTTCAGGGGGCTTCGAGCAGTTAAGTAGACCATGAAGCATGAACCCAAACTGAATTTGGACATAGCTTAATCCAACAGGCACTAAACCCGACGTCCCCTGAGAGACCATGGGACGGACAGGTGACTCCTTGCAGTCTCTTCAATTATCACATGCAGCCGTGATGTGGCGATAGGAAGAAGCAGTACAGTATCTCTGCCAAGGACGAAGCTGCTCGATAAACGTCTGATCAATACGGCAGCTTCTTTAATCGGGGGATGAAAAGGGAGCATTGATTGGTAAAATGGTGAATCTTGGGTTGGGGGAGAGAAAAGAGGGCGGCGCAGGAGCGGTGTGCCAAACGGAAAGACGCGGTCAAAGACGACCGCCGTGACCTCAGGTGTCCGTGCACAAACATGCAAAGGTTAGCCGAAGCGTCCTAGTGGCTCTCCGCCGTGTTGAGCTGCAGAAGCAGAACAAAAGAGTTGAGGGGAGCAGACTGGCCTGTTTCTTAAATGTCATAGAGAAACCTTTCTGGCAACAGGAAATGAAGTGTGCCTGCCTTTTTCAGTGTGTGTGTGTGTGCATATGGTTGTGTCTGGCTAGTGTTAAATCTTTCAGCCAGTGATGAGTGAGGCAGAGATTCAATTACACAGTGATTGAATGTGATTCATTAATCACAAAAGGGAAAATGTGGGGTCTAATTTCCACGCCTGGAGCTGCGGGTTCTGCCAAAGATGACCGCACTAATCGCTACCTTTAGTAATTTAGGAACGAGGCCTGCCAGCTTTATGTTGGTTAAATCAGACTTTAATGTGCACACAGGGGTGTTTCTTTATGAATCTTGTGTTGACAGACCTGTGGTGAACAATATCCCGCAGGCTTCGTTGGAATGAGATGTAAGAAATTTAAAAACCGTTTTTACGGAGGCTCCCTTCGGCGTCGTCTCACACTCATTCTTCGCTCTCCTCCTCATCTTTCCTTCTCCCTCCCACATCCTGGAAAGTTTGTGTATGTAGGAAATAAAAAAAAGGTTTAAGTTTCTCTAGTAAACAAGATAATGAGAGCATAAAACAAAATGATGATGACATTACTGGCACTTCTTATATTTCCCTCTCTGGTTCATTACTTTCTTATTTCCCTCTCTCTGTCTCCTCCATTGCAGGTACTTTGTGTTGGATCCAGAGTTGGGACAACTGCAGTATTTCGTCAACGAGCAGGGGAAAAGCCAGAAGCCCCGTGGGTCCCTGCCCCTGATCGGTGCCTCCGTATCCCAGAGCGACGAGGCTCCGCACATGTTCGTTGTGAACTCCGTCAATGGAGAGCTGTACAAGCTCAGAGGTATGACCTCACACTGTCCTCAGGCTGCCCGTATATGGCAAAGTACAAACACTGACTGGAGCGTGTGTTTTACATTTGAGTCACTTGGAGAGCAGAGTGCATGCTGGGAGTTATGAATGAAGAATTGTGTTATTTGTGAATGTAAAGAACATGATTTACTTCTAACGCTGCTCTAATTAATATTATCATGTGAAAACTAGTAAAAAATTCTGAAAGAACATTTCATACTTTGCAGCTCATTATTTTGGTTTAACGCTCAATAACTTCACTGTTTTGGTTCGCCCAGGTTTGAGGTCCAATAGGCCAAACTAATTCCACTGTGTGGTTTGTCCAACATCAGACAGCAGAAGGGCAGCATTATTGATTAGCTGGTGAAAATAGTTTTTAGCAAAGTAGATATTTCGACCGGTGGAGAATAAAACAGAGCTGAGTGAATATTGAGCTATTGAACCAGAGACAGGGATCTGAATGAATAATAATGTAATAATTTACATCGAACATTATTCTCATTGGTGCCTGAGCATTTATAGCTATTTGTTAACTGATTTGTTGACTAATTAGCAAATTGACAGAAAAGTAGAATAGTGCAACTTGCTGAAAATAATAAAAATCCAGCATGTAGGCTATATTACATTATATTACACTCTGAGCACCTCTGCACTGAAGTGAAATATCTCTTTAAGACCTGGTGCCAGACAAAGCGCCTGTAGCCGGTCACTGTGCCGAAGGCCGCTGCTTTCACTGACCTGTATCCACTGATGCAAGAAAGACTCCTTTTCACTGTTGCACCACTTGAACCGCTGGAATGTCCCCACACACTCTCCAGGGGGAGGATATCAGAATAACATGGCCTATATTCCCTGTGCAACGCAGTGCTCCATGTGCACTGAGCTAAGAGGAAACAATGATCCCACAGAGGAGGAGAGGTTGTGGGGCTCAGTAGCAGAGACAGAGGTACTTTCATTTCCAACATTCCAACACTCGGTGAGATTCGGGAAATATAAAGAAAGTCTCCGAGGGAAAAATATTTATCTTTGAAGTTTATCTGTTTCGAGGATCAGCTGCTGCCACAACTATGGCAGCGACGAAGAAACAACCCTTAGAATGTTTCTGCTCTGAAAAGAATTGGAGAGAAATAATATTTTAGTGATTAAAAGCTTCAATTTATTTGAACAGCTGGGGACAAGGTGGTTTATATGGGAGTCCACTGCAACCTGTGATTATGATTAGCCATTACGCTAATATGTGGTTACCATGGGAACCTCCCAAAAGACCACCTTAAGGAGTAGGGGGGGGGCTATAAAGTTTCCTTGAGTCACTTTCCAGTTTTTCAGGCTTCACTTGTAAGCAGGTTTCATCTTACAGGAGCTTTAAATGCCACCTTTATTCTGTGGCTCCTTTCACAGGAAGGTTTTGAATGAATTTCCTTATCGCTAACTGTTGTAAGAAGATACTGGGCACACAGAGAATCTGTAGCTAATGCAAAGATTTCCGCAAGGCAAGTGTGTAAGCCCACTCCTCACCTATATAGTTTCAATTCATGCACTAAAAGACCATTAAATCCTGCAACTGTTAAACTGAGGGGAGACAAGCTGCTGATCAAAACTAGAATATTCATCTTATAGTCGTCATCTAGGAGTTTAGTTGCGATAACGTTTGATTGACAGATATTATTATCCAGTGGGTGCAGGTCGTAGATGTAGGTGGGCTCAATCAATCGGGCTGACCCTTCACTCCTCCAACTATTGGTACTTCCTGTTTCAAAAAACCCAAATGGCGCTGCGCAAAATGCCAAAGACTGTAAAACAGCAGCCCACAAACTACATTGATGACGTCACAGTGGGTTTCCACTCGGCAATACATCCAGTCCATTTACCATCTACTACTCGGGGACCCCTTCCCCCACCACCAATACCTGAATCCAAACCTGCACAGTTGCCTTGAGGTGTCTCTTGTGCAGCAATTGATCTCGACTCTTAATGTTTCTCCACTAATACAAGGACGTCCAACTTAATCCATCAGGGGACTTTCATGTGACATCTAACACAGCTGTAAAGTAGCCTGAGGGTTTTTCTGGCTCCAAACCAAAGGAGTTCAGTGTAATTAGCTAAAGCCGAGGAATAGAAAGGGAGTATTTCATTATTGCATGTAGGGAGACTGCAGGGCCTTGGGTTTTCTGCTGCTGAGCAGAGGTGAAGAGCAGGGGGAGTTAAATCATGTCTGAATGCTGGGATTGTAAATTAAGCTGTTAATCATACGACATCTCAGTGAGACGGTCAGCCAGTGGAAGGGTCAAGTTGTGTTCGTCAGGGCTTATTAAGATGCATCAGAAGAATGAAAACTCAATATTTTAGCCTGTGTTTTTCGCGGCGTCCTCGTGATTGATGATTATAAACCTGCCAAGACATTAGAGTACAAATGCAATGTTCTGCAACAGTATGAGCCTGTTTTGCTGCAGACTTGACATTTTCAGCTGATGTGATTATCCACAGCGGCGTCCACCATGTTATTATCTTGCTCATCCACACAGACTAAAAGCGGCTGGCACAGTTTGCAAGCTACAAACATTTAAGTGTCCTCCGACTGTATTTAATGGATAGTTTTACATTCGAAAAAGCTGTTTTCCCTCCAGAACTCGGATGAAGATAATTGATACCGTTCTTACATTTGAACATTAAATATGGAGTCAGCATCAGGAGACGATTATCTAAGATTAGCATTAGGAATTTAAGGCAGTGGGACAAAGCTAACGCCGCTCTGTGTAGTAAAACAACATCAGCCTAACACCTCAACATTTGAACATTTAATCTGTAAGAAATTCAAATTATATCAAACCTCTCATCTTACTTTAATTATTCCTCTCAGTCAATTATATATTTTCATTGTAGAAATTATGAATTTTGAATGGTAACCAACATTTTTGCTGATGTCAAGTACACCGCTATTGATCCATTAGCATCGAAAAACATCTTATTTTCCCAATTAACTGTTTTTACATCTGACTGTGTCTTTTCTTCAAGGATGCGACTGCATTTCAGAATAAATTGACTGAATTCACAAATATGTGGCAAAAGCTAATTCTTCACTGACAAACCTGGATGTTTCAGGCTCTTGACATCGTTTTGTCACCTTCCGTGCTAATGCACTATAATATCAGTGAATCAACATTATTCTGCTTAAATATGACATTTCAAGCCCATTCAAAGCAATTAAACCTGAAGTCAAACCTGAAATTACTACTATTTACTTTTAGTGTATAATATAGTGTTAGAGTATGAATTATCACAGGGTCATTGTCCATTTCCATTAAGTACATATGTTTGAAAGTGCCCTGCTCTTAATATCTCCCAGCACTTAAATCTAATCCAACTGCTGATCAATCCTCATACTTACCATTGTCATAACCACATCTCTCACAAAGCTGTAATAAGAATGGGTGTAGTTAGATGATGATTGATGGTGATCAATGATTGACTCTCCCTCTTACTCAGCAATGTTCTGATATCATTTGTGGGATAGATATTTCCAGTTAAATAAAAGGCACAGACCGGAAGGGCTGTCATTGTAATCTCCTCAGTTTCCAGTTCAAGCCTTGTGCATTCATCAGATGAATTGAACCGGGAGAACGTCACCTCGAGGTCCCTTGTAACAAAAAAACCAAAACAGCTGTGATTTTATTAAGTATCAGGATCCTGGTATTCTGCCTGAATGAGAACAGAGCGTCCTGCTGTCGGCGGAGCGGTGTGTATATCGTTTGCGTCACCACATCGTGAACAGGTGCTGATTAGCATAACCACATGCGGAGGCTGCTCTGCTCAATACAGACAACTAATTATCTTTAATCACTGCTAAGCTTGTGCACATCACAGAGGGAAATATCAGATTTAGATGCCTGCTCACTGTCAGGGTAAGAGGTCCCGTTTTGAGTCAAGAGGATGACAAGAAGAAGAAAAGTGTTACTGGGGATATTTTCTTCAGGAGGACGGTTGGTGCAGGTGTTTCTGTACGAGGCGAGCAGACACTCCCAGTGGGAGAGCGCACGTCTCGACTGCAGCACTCGACAAGAGTTGCCTCTTCTCTAAAAAAGGACTTTTGTAGGTGTTCTCATGGTGGTGGCAGGCGTGCGGGTGATTGACAAGTGCAAATTGAATTCTCCATGGTTCTGATACTTCTGAAAAAGCCTCCATCTGCATGGGGAAAACACTGAAAAATGCAATTTCTTCTAAATGCAATCTAATGAAGCTATCCATCCTCATTATAGAGTCGCTACTAAGGAGTGTTGAACTAATTTTCACATTTTAAACTTTTCTGTCCATGACAATTTGAGAAATCAGGAAAATATTTAAGAAAAAAACTCATATATATTTTATATAATAGATATTTTGTTAGGAATGCACCAGTTGGCATCGATACTGACCTCTCTTATAATTAGTCAGTGAAATGGGATCAGAAGGATTTTATTTTCCGACCTGGAGCGAGTCAGCACAAGCAGACAGTCAGTGTCCCCTTCACCTGGAGTCCTGCAGCTCTCCGTGCTAGTCATCAAGCTTTGGCTATTTGTGTTCAGACAGCCAGAATCTGTGCCAAGGTGGGAAAACACAAGCATGCAGAGGGAATCAATCTGCCTCGCGTGCGGCGTGCAAATCGGCCAAATGCGACGCCGGTGTTTTTTGAATACTGAATGTTCAATTTAGCGTGGAGGAGAGAATGAAGAGGGCTGGATGTGACAGCAGCCCTCAGGACATCATTCACAGGGAAACGAGATCAAATGATCAGGTGGACTGTCGACAAGAATAATAATGTGGCTGCAGGTGAGATCATTGACATCCAGCAGGACGTCCTCAGTCAAACACTGTCCTCGCCACCTTTTGTTCAAAGGAGGAACTCTCTTTAAATCACATAAACACTGATGTTGGCTGTGGTTACTCCTAAAAAGAGCCTGCTCTGTAATTATCACGCTTGTCCCCTGGTCAGTTCATGAACCCAACGGTTTCAGTTTGAAGGATTAGTTTGAGATTGGCACGAAAAAGTAAATTCACATTTCTTGCTGGGAGTTAGACAGCGAGGTTGAAACCAATCTCGCATGTTTCTACGGTAAATATGACTCAATTAGTTTACAGCTAGTTTCTCACATTTACACCTCAGTTTTTTTTACAGATTAAACAACAAACAATCTTCTAACGAGGAACTTTAGAAGGGCTGTTAGGGATATTTTGTTGATATTAATCTTTTCATTGAACTCATTTACTTCTTGGTAAAAATGAAGTTTTGACTCCAAAGCCAAACCTTCCTTGCTTAGTAAATTTGGACATCAAAAGCAAACTTTAAATTTCCTTGCATTTACTAATTTAACACTTTTATTATACATGAAGTAAATTGTATTTTACATCCCTAAATGTCAAATGTTAGAGACTTGTCTACACTACTAACATTGGAGTTCTAGTGGTTCAAATGTGTTAATCATTTATTTGTGGCTTCAGGTTTAGTGTTTACACTGTCTGTGGGTGTGGAGACACCTAAAAGACAGACATGAGACCTAACTGTGAAGACATGTAAAGACTTATTCTGAATGTCATGTGTGCACAGGAAGTGATGTCTTGTAATATTTTTTTTAACATATTCTTGTTGTGTGTCACTTTGCAGCTTCTGATGCCAAAGAACAGCAGTTTTGGATCAGTCAGCTCCAAGCATGTGCACGACGTCACTCCGACAGCAGTGCCAAGGTAAAACACACACACACACACACAC